TATATATATATATATATATATATATATATATATATATATATATATATATATATATATATATATATATGTGTGTGTATGTATGCATGTGTATATAATTTAATAATAAATGTAATTAATTATTTAAATAATTATAAACATTTAATTTTTAATTATTATTTTATTTAATTACAGAGTTGCTTTTCTCCAGGCAGCAGATTGTCGTACACATGCATTTGTGCTATAAATCAACATAGCTAATAAAATTTCTCTCCCAGGTCATTAATTTATTCATCAGGAGAAGGTTTAACAGGTGTTGGAGGACATTTTCCACAGCCAGCGCAGCAGGTTTAACAGGAACACATGCTTCAGTCTCAAGGCCGGATCATGACATGGACATGTGTTCGCACTCCCACGTTTATAAACACACATGTGATTGTGGGAGCCACAGCTCTGCTTCAGCATGATATGAAGAGAGAAAACTGCAGCGTTCCGATATAAATACACATAAACATCACCGTGGAGATGTGAAAGATGAGCTGGGTGTTGATGTGGAAAGGTCGGGGTCATAAAGGTCTCTAGAAGATGACATATGGACATGTCTTGATCCGTAAAAAGTGATTTCTTTATAAATACCTCTCTTCTGCATAAAGCTGAACAGATCATCCAGGAACTCCTTCCTCTTTGGGTCGCTGTCTAGTTCATAGAGCTGCATATGAAAAACAGAGTTAAAAAGAGCAGTGCACAAAACTGCGTTCTCATCACTCTTGATGTCCGGATCAGGAACTGCATTATATAAGCAATAAGATATAAGAGGCTGTGCTATATTGTGAAAAAGTCCTGCTAAACAGAACTGATAGCTAGCAAGTGCTTAAACATAATCATTATAACTGAGTACATTATTGCTAAGAGTCACTACACAATAAATTAATAAAATAAATAACTAAATAAATGACACATAAAAACACTATTTAACAAGAAAAATAAAATGTAATTCTTTCATTAGCAAATATAGTTCCTGATTTGTAAATTAAGGTGTTAATAAGAGGTGATTTGCAGGTTTTGTGCATTATTGAGTGAAATTTAATTAAAAATCTTAATTAAATATACATATATATCATCATAATATTATGTTATTATATATTACATGTTAAAATTATTTGTTTTATATAATTACACATTTTACATATGAAAGGTATTATGTAAATAATAAATAAATCTTATAATTATTTATTATTATTTTCAAAAATAACATCCAGAAAATGCAGGCCAACCGAAATGATAACTTGCTGAATTGAATTTTTCAATTTAAAAAAATGGAAATTACATAAATACTTAAAATGTTACTTTTAATTGTGCGTGTGTGTGTGTGTGTGTATATAGTATATATTGTGTGTCTAATATATATATATATATATATATATGTGTGTATATGAAATTACATGTTAGAATTACTTTAACTTAATTTTAATTTAATTATACATTTTACATATGAAAGGTGCTATATAAATAATAAATAAACCTTGTAATTATTTATTATTATTTTCAAAAATAGTGTCCATAAAATGCAGGCCAACAAAAATGATAACTTGCTGAATTAAACATGCAATGAGATGAGGTGATTTGACAAATGTAGAGAGGCCAAGTGATACCAATACAGCACACTATACTTTGGAACGGTTTTCATTGCATAATGCAAAAGCATGCAATATGCAGCCAGCATTCAGCAAGCTAGCCCTTAGTGTTCCAGAAGACCAGAACTATGACTTTTATGATGATTCATAAATTATTACATTAAAAAATGTAATGTAAAATTTGGATTTTTAGTTTTAATTAACGCAATATATCTAACAAACATGTGAAAGGCTGAAGGATCTGAACGATAACGGAAGCCTCATGTGGCAAAAAGGTCTGACTATTTAATCACGCACAGACAGAAAAACAGTGCTGGTAGCCGAGCAACGGGTTAAATTGCTCCTTCTTTCTCTTTCCTTCTTGCTTTCTTCCAGTGTTCCTGATCTCTCATTAGCAGCAGTGAGCTCTTACTCAGGGGGAGGGTCTGAGGAAACGCTGGGGGCCAGTGGAGGGTTAATTACAGGATATATGTGTTTTAGAGGAGTGCCACATTGTAAATCTCTCAAATGACCTTCCTCTTCTCTATTTTCTGAAGGGTACTCAGCCCCCACCCTTATTTCTTTTTATTCATAAATAGGGAATTTAACTTCTTTGTCTCAAAAAAATACTTTAAGTAGACATCACAAAAGTAATGCCTTGATTATCAAAAGACTGTGTGAATGAGCCAGTCTGATATTAAACCAGCAACTTAAATCTTTCAGAATGATTCATAAAAAAAACTGGCTCAAGAGTCATTTGTTTGTGAATCAGAATAGCAATGCAAGAAACACCATTAGAGGACTTTATGCCACATTCATGTCTTGTGATAAATAATTACAATAATTACATAATTACAAAATTAATTTAGTGCTATATTCTGGTGTGAATGACGTAATGATACTGGAAAATAAAGAAAGCGCATATATATATATATATATATTTTTTTTGCATTTCATCTGAATTATTGCTTTTTCACATTAGCACAAATCACGAGCACATTACAGATTTAGTTGCAGCAAACAGAGCAAACGATCACATGAACGGAAACAGACTGTATTGCACTTTCATTTGAGCAGAATATCTAATTAGAGATCACTAAACTCAAACTTCCATGTTTGCTGGAGTTTTTAGCTCATGAGCACTTTTTTCCATAATGTACAGAGTAGGTGTGTGCATGGTTGCCAGGTTGGGAAGATTAAGTAAACCACTGGGAAGAATATGTATCGATTTATGAAAAAAGCTCAGGTTGGGGGGATTTTAACTCTTCGAATCTGGCAACCAGAAAGCTTGTGGTGGCTTGGTACTGATGCAAGATAACACAAACACCAATTAAGAATGAAATGTTTTCAGAATAAATAACCAGTGGGCAAATATTGCAGATGATTATGCTTAATAAATTGAGAGAGGCAGAAATCATGATCACAATTAAAATAGGATACATTGTGTGGCCCCAAGTCAAGCATGCATATATATATATATATATATATATATATATGAGGGACCAATCATTAAGAATCCAACTCTCATTCTGAGATCTACCCCTAAAGGGCCTTTAGCTTTCAACAATAGATAAAGCAATAAATACTTTTACCCCAAATTCTGCTGATAGCCCCCTCCCTCATACTATAGAAACACATCTGTTTATCTGTTTAAAGCGGGTGGAGGCAAAACCGTCTGACATTTCCTCAAACGCAGGGTGGAGAAATGTACCAGTAAAGAGTCGGTTGGATGTGAATGTTCAACTTCAACTGATTTTAGGCCTTAAATGTGGCGTCAGAAATTTGGTGATAAATTGCTGGTAAATTTAGTGAGAAGTACTGACTGACATCACAGCAAGACAAAAATAAACATAATAAACAACATTTGCATCCCCATTTGAATTCAGGAATGTTGATGAGTTTCCCAAGAAATGGGCACAGAAATAATTACACACACATGTAACATACAATCGTGTTACTAGTAGGGCTGCAGGATAAATCCTATTTTAATTGTGATTGCGATTTCTGCTTTTCTCGTTTTATTTAGCATAATCGTCTGTGATAATTGCCCACTGATTATTTATCCTAGAGGTACTTTATTTTAATTTGCCATTTGAATTATATTTCATAACAAGCCTTCACAAGCTTTCATGGTTGGGGTTGCCAGATGTCAAGAGGTAAAATCCCACAATCAGAGATTTTTCATAAATTGATTTTTATATGATGTTTTCTGTCCAGAGGCTTACTTAATCTTCCCAACCTGGCACACACTCTCTCTGCATTACGGAAAAAGCGCTGATGAGTTGAAAACACAGACAAACATGTAAGCTGGAGTTTAGCAATCGCTATTGACATCTTCTGCTCAAATAAAAGTGTAATATAGTCAGTGTTTTCTTTATGCACTCATTTGTGCTGTTTGCTGCGAGCAGACATGCGAGTTGATGTTTTCTTGATTTGTGGTTATGTGAAAGTACAATAACTGATGAAATGTGAAAAAAAACAACAACATGTAAAATGTTCTGAGCAAAATAATCATGATTAACAGTTTAACCATTATCATGCAGCCCTAGTTACAAGTGACAAAATAAAGGTGTGTAATTTGGGGGTCAATTTGAGATCTCAAAAGGTTTTCAGAAGTGAGCGAGTGATTGAATGCTGAATCGGATACCTTGGATCGACACTGAGAAGGTCTGACATTGTTTCGATGACATGTGAGATGTTGTGCTATTTCACACCTGCCAATCACCTCAAGAGGCAGGCAAAACGACAATACGGGGGAAGGGCCGGAAACGAGCGAGGCCCAAATGGAGGAAGGGTAACTATGAAAGCACATATAAGAACAGTATCGATTCTTATAGAGGCGCCTGTTCTCAGACGCCTCGATCTGACTTCATTTGAATGGTGGGGTTGCACTGAGGGCAAAGGAGAATGTGGTTTCTGTATTACTGAGAGAAACTACAGGGCCACAACGTCCCTAGCTAAAGAGTGCCTCACATGAAACACCTGCAGGGAATGAGAATTAGATTTTTAGAAACCCGAAACTCTGAATTCTAGCTAAATTATTCAAATGATTTATTAATTTAACCAGTACTGAAATCTGTGTGGGCTGCGAGTCAGTCCAAAGTTTCGAATACACTGAATAAGATAGTATGAAAAACCTGCATGATAATAATCATGGTTATTTTGTGCTCTCTCTCTCTCTATATATCCCCCCCCCCCCCCCCCCCCCCCCCCCCCCCCCCCCCCATTTATGAGGAAAGTCCTGACTGGGGGATTTAAACTCTTGATATCTGGCAACCATGAAAGTGCATGGAGGCTCATTACTAGTGCAAATGCCAAAAGAAAATTATTTTCAGGATAAATAATCAGAGGACAAATTTTGCAGATGAATATGCTTAATAAATCAAGAAGAAAAAAAACGTGATCACAATTAAAATATGATTTTGTTTTCTATTAAAAAAACATTTAGTGGTGTTTTCTAATAAAATTGCCTAAAAAAAATCAAATGAGTGAAAAATCTAGACTTACATGTAAGGAGAAACTAACAAACACATTAAAAATGTAACAAAATAGTATCTTAACTGGGTCTATGGTTTTAACTAAGGCATTATTTCTGACAAACATATCAACGTGTGAAAGATGATAACGGAAACCACAATTACAAACCATAACCTAAATTGTTTAATACACCACAACAAAGCAATTTATTGAACCCACGAGTCATGATTTAAGCATTCTCATGTCTAAAGTCACAGAAACAGCAAAAAACTGCACAAAGCACAACACAGATGACACAATTAACTTTAAATTTGAGATACTTGCTCTGACAGAAATAAAGAGAGCAAAAAGGGAGGAACTATCAGCTCGGTAGCAAGTTACATTTGGTATTGTAACAGCTCCAGACAGTTAGTTTTTGCACACTGAACCCTGCTAACTTCCTGTCAGGGTTATATAAGCAAACCTAAAACCACAAAATACCATAAAAAAAATTATTTCAACTAGTTTCCAAGGTTGCACTTCTCATCTTCCTATAGTTTAACTTGATGTACTAATAACTAAAACTGAAATAAAAATGAATAAAAACTATATTGACATTTAAAAACAACAAAAATGGCAA